ATTTTTAAAAAAAAAAAAAAAAAAAAAAAAAAAAGAACAAGACTACGGATAACATCGGTAATCACTGAGGTGAAAAGAAGAAGAAAAAAATTACGACAAACAGTTACTTCATAACGGCAAACTGGCATTGGTACATTATGCGAGATAAAATGGGTGGCCAATTCTGAGACTTCGATATCTGTTGAAACTGTCTGCAACAGCAAAACACCGTAGAACGGCGTCAAATAACTGAGAAAACCAAGAAAAAAAAGAGCTTCATTTCTAATATCTTACAAAATTACTAACTAAATTTTTTTTTTGTAGGTAATTGGTTTTTTGCCTATCAACATCTGTCATATAAGCTTTTTTTTTCTGTCAAACCCTTCGTTTGGAATGGTATTTTCAATAACAATCCACTATTTAGTGGTCATTTAGCGTGGCAAAACCAGCAAACTAAAAAAAACTTATCAACTTAACCTTATCAGCTTCCATGTAGAAACATTGAACTTTGTATGCTCGATCAACTTTTGTTAAAAACTGTGGATGGAATGTAACGATGACAGTGGTTGATACATAGACACCGCGTGGATTTAGCGATCGAATTCGTGATACTCCACAGGCATTAAACGGCAGCGTTATACCGGCAACTTCGGTACCACCGTCATCAGATCTAAACAATTTTTTGTTGTTCGTTTAATGCCACTCAAAGCACCAAGAAAAAAACCCCACAGCAAACACCTGAAAGTGATCGGCAAATGTTGACTTCATATGCTCAGTCAATTATATTCCAATTTAGTGCTCTAATCAATTATAAATGCAGCGAAAAAAAAAAGAAAATAAAGACTGAAAATAAAGACCAGACTGAAAAGATAGTACTTAGATAATTGGCGTTTTTTTTTAAGCTGCCTAAATTTAGCATACAAGTTTTTAAAATTGATTCTACCAGTTGTCTAGGTTAAGTCAACTTTCTATTACTGCAATTTTACGCCACTTTTTTTTGCTATTTATTTGCGACAAATTTTTTGGCAATAGAACAGATACTTAATTAAACTAAAGAAAAAAAAAAAAGAAAGATGTTGTAATAATGTTTAGTTTTTTCCATAAATCTTCTTTTTTCTTCCTTTCTTCCTTCTTTTCTTCACTCATTAATTTTTCTCTTAAAAAGTATATATTAAAGAAAAAAAAATAAAAATAAAGAACTTCTCAGCAACAGCTGGTCGTACAGTTCCCAAAAAGGAAAAAAATTAATCCTGTTTGATATTTTAAGCAAGTTTCATTTCTGAATGCAATCAAAGTTTTGAAGAAAAAAATCTGTTCAGAAGCTTTTTTTTTTTCAATTTTAAAATAAGTCTTTGGCCTGACTAAGAAAAGAAGAAAAAAAAAGTTAACGTCGGTTTAAAATTCTTTGGACTTTAAATGCCGATGAGTATTTACTGTAAACTACAAATCCGTCAACAATATCAAATCCATTTAAAGCGACTTTACTCAGTTAATCTTCTTTGATATCTCCTTTTCTACTATTTTTTTTACTTTTAGTGAAAGTATTTTAAAAAATTGTTTTGTCAAAGATTTCTCGTTTTGTATCAGATCAAAACAGACGACGCTAATAACCG